TTTGGCCCGATCACCCCGACACATTACGGGCTCTCGGAAGCCTGGCCACAGCTCTACAGAGCCAAGGGAAGTATCACGAATCAGAGATGATGAGCAGGCGCATGCTAGAGGGGCACGAGAAGATTTTGGGCTTTGATCACCCCGACACATTACGGGCTGCCAACCACCTAGCAGCAATTCTACAAGACCAAGGGAGATACAAGGAATCAGAGTCGTTGAGCAGGCGCACACTCAAGGGGTGCAAGAAGATTTTAGGCCCCGATCACCCCGACACATTACGGGATCTCAGAAGCCTGGCCACAGTTCTACAGAACCAAGGGAAGTACGACGAATCAGAGATGATGAGTCGACGCACGCTAGAGCGGTGCGAAAAGTCCCTAGGCCCTGACCATCACGACACATTACTAGTTGCCAACAGCCTAGCCACAGTTCTACGGGGCCAAGGGAGGTATGAAGAATCGGAGGTGGTAAATCGACGTGCCTTGGATGGCTGCGAGAAGACTTTTGGTGCACGCCATCCTGACACTTTGCGGGCTGTTCATAGCCTAGCTGAAGTACTGCGGGATCAAGGGATGTACGAGGAATCAGAGGTGGTTAATCGACGTGCCTTAAATGGGTATGAGGAGATTTTTGGCCCAGAACACCCTGACACTTTAAAAGCTCTACACAATTTAGCTACCGTTTTGCTCTGCTCCGGACAGTACCATGAATCTGAGATGGTCAGTCGACGGGTATTGGAGGGGTACGACAAAGCCTTCGGTCCACGCCATCGTCACACTTTAGGGGCTCTTAATAACCTGGCACTTTCGTTACGGCGCCAAGGGCAATACGCTCAGTCAGAAGTGATGACGCGGCGTGTATTGGATGGATTTGAGGAGGTTTTTGGCCCAGAGGATCCCGATACGTTGGGTGTGGCTAACAACCTAGCTACCGATTTGCGGCGCCAAGGGCGATTTGTCCCGGCGGAGAAGATGAATCGTCGTGTATTGGAGGGGTACGAGAAGCTTTTTGGACCAGGCCACCCAGACACGCTCAGAGCTGTCCACAACCTAGCCGTTCTGCTGCGACACCAAGGGCGATACGGCGAAGCAGAGAGTATGAATCAGCGGGCATTGGAAGGTTACGAAAAGGCATTTGGACCAGGCCACCCTGACACGCAGGGCGTTGCTCACAACCTAACTGTTGTACTGCGGCGCCAAGGAAAAGATAGCGAATTAGAGTCGGTTGGTGGATAGGTGTTGTAGGCAGAGCGGGACTTGGTGGCAGAAATTTGGGGAATTGCTATAGTATTTGGGCTATGTTAGCTTGGTGTCATGAGATATAGGTTGTCGGGGAGGGGTAGGGATAATGGGGTGCAGGGTTGTAGAAATCTGGAATGGTCTCCCGAGTTGGATGAAGAATGGGAAATTTTTCAACAGTTGGGGAGGGTTACTCATGGTGTGGGTTTTAACACAATGAAGAAAAAGAATTGACTGGGGAGGAGTTTTGGACCTACTACGGCAAGCGAACGTGTTGGTTTCAAGTCTGTAAGAAGAAAAAGAAGGAAAGGGAAACCCAGAGAACAAAACATGAATAACGAGAGAAGTACTTATAGCGGCAGCACGGCCGATCAAGGAATCGAGCTTAATAGTATGGATCATAGATGAATTACCTCTGTCATACCAAAAAAAATCTTGCCCCGCAATTCTGTCCTGTAAATATCCATACCTACATCTGACTATTAGCTTTACCGGTGTATGTTCCCTCGGCCTTCTAGTATGCTTCCACATTTGGCGTAGGATGTCCATGATAAGAGTGGAATTCCGGGTCTACATACTCTACACACCCCGCCTCGTGTTGCCTCCACAGCAATAGGACCAGCAAGAGGTTATATAGTAGTGGGGCTGCGTGTGGATCCCAACAAGGTTAGGCAATTGCAAGGTTGAACTCTGCACCTGTGGCGTAGCGTTTCTGGGCCCATTAGGTGTGGGCTGCCTACAAAGCGGCTAATGGGCGGAGCCAGGTCGAACATGAGAAGATTCAGCCTGATCAGATATTAAGGGGAAATGGACCTGACCCAAGTCGGCTGGCGAAGGGATGACCCGGGTTAACCCGATGAAGATGGTAGATCGCTATTTGAATTTAGAAGAGGGAGATATGGGATACTGCCCGTAAGTTCTCGCCTCAGATATAAAAGAGTGAAAAAAAAAAAGAAACACGCTGTAGCGTAACCTGCGGGTTTGGTCAGCATTATAACTATTTCTTTCGCCTACTCACAACCTTCCCAGGACTTCCTAGTTTAAACACAGACTGCTAAGCTTAACTAAAGGCATTACAAAAATGGTGACATCCAAAACTGTCACGTTTTTTTGTGAGAAAAGTAGTCCCACGTCTAGTCTTCCGGAACCGTGCTTTGCAGTTGATGTATCTTCATGGGACATCACTCTGCCAAGCTACCCCAAGCATATACCGGTAGAATGCGAAGCTAGATTTCTACTGGTTTGGAGCTGAGGGATCCTGGGACAGACTTATGATACAAGTGGTACTCGTACCGTACCGATTTTCCACTACCGTACACCTACCTATGTCTCCCGGTGTCCAGGGTGAACCCTTGCACTTTTTCCCTATATGCTGACAAATAAATTGGTAATCAACATGAATCTTCCCTACAACAATAATACCTACCGTAGACCACCCCTCCCGCAATCATCCTGCGGCCAATTTCAGCACCGATATCATACTGATCTTGGACCTACCCCTTTTCCCGCCGGCTCGACTCAGCAACAAATAGATACGGCAAACACCGGACTAGATTATCTGCTTCAGTCCGGCGCCTTTTCGGGCTGTTCTTTTACCCGTGCCCCGAGCAATGGAGTCAGGCGAATTCTTTATCGCTGGGAAGCAGCCTAGAAGGACATGGAGGTAGATATCAGCTGCGTCACGTACACTGAATTAAAAGCTCTCAAAAAATCGAAAACACTCCCAACTCACGAACCTGAAATGGTTCTGCACTTCAAATTCATTCCGTCAATGTACAACAACATTCATCATTGTTTCCGCTACCCAGAGAAATATCTCACTACCATTCAAGAAGGTTGAGATTTGCTACCTGCCGTTCGCTCAGAGTAGTCCATCCATGGCAACTTGGCCAGACGCCATTACGCTCTCTGGCCTGGCAATGGTCAGGAGATGTTTTATAGAAAGGAATACAACGATGACCTTCCGGGTTTCAAGGATTGGCATCCTGCAAATACGTCCCTCTTCAACTATCTATCCCACAATCTTCGCACGATCGATCCAGATATGTATGACGAATTTACGGTGTTCGCAATGGGGCAGTCCGCCCATCCTGAGGGTAGGGCGGGGGCGGACTACAACTCATAGTCCGTCAAGTCCTGGAGGGAATTTTGCCCGGCTCTTTTTGGCGAGAGGATGGGGAAGACCTGGGCGACCACGACTAGTTCATAAAATGTCTTAGATTGTGGGGCCCTACGGGGCCCTGTGGGAAAGGCTGTTACCCACAGATACCCACAGATACCCATGGATTCCTACCGTCCTCTGGTGAAAGCCTGTAGTCCTTTGCCTTCATCGGTAATCCTTGTACCAGGACGGCAAAATTATGTCTCACCATGTCAGGCCCGTGGTCTTTGCCGAAACCTGCTGTTCCCAATACTTTGGCAGTCGGAAATTGTTTACGGGTTAAGACTGGGCGACTGTTTGTTTTTTAGGGGTGGTGTGGTGGCTCATTAGGTACAAGAAGTTACTAGGGGTATTCAAAACTCCATAGATTTGTTTGCTCATAAGAGTATTTTTGATTTGAAAAGGGTGAATGCAAAAGGCTGGGGGCATTTTTCATAACATCTAAGTTTTCTGTATTCCAAGCACTACCGAATATATGAATGGACTCCTGGGATAGCACGCGGATATTTGTAATAATTTTCTAGGTTTGTTTGCTGGGCTGCTATGGGATTCTTTCTTCAATTCTTGTCTATATAATGGGTTTGGTCGATCGGATAGGGAAGCGAAAAGGGGGACAGACGTTGAGGATAGAAAGGACACGGGGTACAGCTCATTCCTTTGATAATGATTCCCTATTCTCTTGTCCTTTCAGGTATCATCTTTAATACAAAACTGCTATGTGGAGGTCCATCGAGGAACCAGGTTATCCATCTCCGTGTTGTGATCTTCCCTTCATTCCCCAAAACATCATTATCGTTGAAGTGCTTCTACGTTCTATCTCCGGACTTGATTCAAACGGCGGAAGTGCCAGGGGTAACATAGGAAAATTCCTTCAGGGAAAACCTCACCAAAGAACGCCAGGGCCGGAAGGGGTCGAGCGGTACTATTCCCATGGGTAGTATTCTTGTCTCTTGTTGGTGGTTATGCAACCGGTACTCCGCTTTTAATGAACTTGAGATTCTTTTGTTAGGGAAATTCTGGGCTCTATTTTGCATTTTGTGATCGCGCAGTGAAGGGCATTGCGCTCGATAGTGGTGTCATACCTCGCTGGTTGACTGGCCAGCGGTAGTGAGCCCGATCAGGTCATGCAATGTCACTCGCGGGTGACAAGCCCGCTAGCGTATCGTACTGTGCCGGGGGCGAAGGGTAACTCTGTGGGACCCCCCCCGGCCG